CCGCCGTAGCTCGTTGCATCAGTTTGGGATCACTGGCAACAGCAGCAGGGGAACTGCTTGGCTTCGGCTTTGACTTCTTTGCCTGCTTTCCCTTTTTCTTGGAATCTCCCTCTGCCGCTTCTGGTGTGCCATCTTGAGCGCCGTCTGCCGTTGTGGGTTCAAGCGCTTCTGGTGTTGTTGTCGTTGCTTGTTCTTGCTGTTTAGCGTTCAGGCTTCCTGTCTCGAGGTCCTTCAAGAAGTTGGTCAACGGCTGTGTATTGGGCGCCCCGCCTCGCCTTTTAGTGGTTTTACTCCTAAGAGCCCGTGGGTGTAGGCGCTGCTTGCCCGGTGCAGGCTTGAAGTCGTTGTCTTTCGGTTCGAGAGCGTTAGCGGGTGAGCTCGGTTTGTCTGACTGCTCAGTCGAGTAGAGCCTAGCAGGATTGTAGAGAGGGGCGGGCCTCGGGTGAGCATTCGAAATTAGGGTGAGACATGACGTGCGGAGAATGTGCGGCTTGATCGTGCGGCGCGTCTTGCTGGTCAGTTGCAACATCTCTGCGACTTCGGGTCGGCGTTTGCGACTGAAATCGAGAATCCGGACTGGGTCGTGCTTCGGATGGTCACTCTACGAAGCGAGCGAGTCTCGGATTGCCGTAAAGTAATCTCTTCCAACGCTACCAGCACAAAGTCCTCCACGTCCAAGAATAAAGGAGGGGGAGAGCGGAGAGACAAGAAAACGAAAAAAAGAATGGCTTGGTTGCCGGTTTCTCGGAGGGGCCAGTCAACTTGGGGGAGGCAAAACAACGACAATCTTCACACTACGGAACCATGTTTACTATCGTTATCGGTCTCGTCTCTACCTGGATTTATTTTTTTTGCTGGGGTTTATGGTCCACTAGCGCCGCTCCATTCGGTGGAGCTTTCTGTCATTTATTTATGGGGCATCACAGTGCCCCACAAAGTGTTCGATTCCAGGTCGTCACGTCCTGACATTCAACTTGTAGTGTACAGCCGTCACGAATTCCAGCTCCGGGTTTTTGCATGTACTGTATATGAAGATTGTCCATGCCTTGATCAACTACAGAGATATGCCTGGGTATCGTTTTGCAAATGCATACTCATCCATGCCCATTAGAAAACACCCCTCTAATGGTTTCTTGTCGGATCATGCTCCAGTCACTCCGATCGCAGTAAGAATTGACAGATCGCTTACATGCACCATACCCCGTCGACAAGAAACTCCAACCGGTGCGCCCCACATCGCTAGAACACATAACGCTACCGAATACAATGTAAAGCCATCCTTACCCCTTCACCACCAAGATACCTCCAAGCTCTTATTCCACCTGGGTTCGAAGACGGGCCTCGTTGGCCAGCCGAGTTCCGTCTTCGCGTGTCTTTTCTGCCTCTTCCTTGAGCCCTTGTTGTTCGAGAGACTGTGCGAGCATACCCTCGGCCACGCTCATCCACAAAAGATTTCCGCTCTTCTTTGCCTGTGCCGTGCCTGCTCTTGCGCTTTTCAGCGCCTGTTCTCCAACGACATTTTCGAAGAGCTTGTTACGCATAATGTTCAACGCGATCGACAGGAAATGGGTGTTGCTGGTGTTTTGCGCGCCGTTGAGCGATAGCTTCATGTGCTGCTTGACCTGGTTGATCGGCAGCGGCGGATCCAGCGTAATGGAGGCGAGCACCAGGTTGTATGTAATCCTGATATCCAGATCAGGATTATCCTCACAGAGCGGCCGTAGAAAATCCAGGAGCTGTGCGGTTTCTCCATCACTACGATGTGCTGGCGCTTGCATGATCCAGATCCGATTCAGCGCAGCTAGGATGCATAGTTCCGAAATGATGTGGCTCGTGTTATTTTGCGGTAGTCCACTCCGGTCCATTGCGAACCTCGGGTCTTTCCAGATCACAAGTGCTTCCCCAAGTTTGCAGGTTCCTTGTCTGAAGACTCCGGTCAAGTAAAGAGTCAGCACATCCAAGAACCCTTCTGGCTGTTGCGCCGTACCCAACGCATCGAGACACGCCTTCACCTTCCGCCAGTCTGAAAGAGTGGCGGCTTGCAGTCCAACCAGGATTTGAGCATAGTTGCTCACACCCTTTGCCCACTGGGCATGCGCGAGAGCATCCGGAAGCGGTTTCGGTCCCGAGCCCGAGTTCTTGTCTGAGTAACAGGTTAGCAGAACTGAATGAAAGACCGGTGGTCACTAATGCATACCTTCCAACAACCGCACAGCTTCTGTCCAGATTGTCGAGCTTCTTCCCAAGGTAGTAGATTTGTAAAGTGCCACAATGCCGTTGAATATGTACCTGCGTAATGGTCAGTAATTCAAGTGTACCTACTTGCCAAATACCAATTCACTTACGCCATTGCGAACGACCCTTGTTTTCCCAGAGCTGATAACACCAAGTAATCGAAGGCGCCATTCCCACGCCGGAGGACGGCCTCTGTATCGCGGCTGAGTGTCGGAGCAGCATCGTTGACAACGCGTCTTATGGGGAGAAGAAGCTCATGCGAAACAGAGGACCAGCTTGGAAGGTTGCGCAGTTCCTCTAACTTGCTCTGAAGGACGCTCAGCTTTTGAGCAGCATCTCTGTGAGACTTTTGCCGAAGGCTGCAAGCAAGATCGAGCAACAGTAGAAGGACGTCGAGCTGAGGAAGGTGAGCAGCATCATCAAATTGCAGTTTCTGTGCCTGGGCAATACAATTCTGAACACGGTTGATCCAGTCATCCTTCATCGTGTTGAGATGAGACAGTCCTTCCAGGAGCATTACCATGACAAACATAGCCTTCTCGTCCCTTGTTGTCGCAATAGACGCCATCCGGCGCAAGTTTTCCAGCGCATGGTGATCAGCAGCAGTTCCTGACTGAATATGAAACGCGGCTTTCAGAAAGCGAAATGCATAGACCCATGGTGCGTGTTTGTACATAGTAGCATCCATTATATGGGTATCAAGTGATTTGAACGCTGCTCTTGGATTGCGTTGAAAAAGAGTCTTCATTAGGAGAAACTGCGAGCAGTATTTGAGGTCGATGAAACGATGCTGTTATCTAGAGTCAGCCCTAACCCATCTTCAGATATCTGCTGCCCACTGTCCTCGAGCGACATACCTTTTCGCAGACCAAAATGCCCCGGGTAAGAGCAGTTTCGGCCTCCATGATATTGGTGGTTTCCTCTATGAGAACACTGGCGTATCTAAGACAAAGTCTAGCTTCGAGACGCGGCCACAGCTTGTTGGAGTTCATGGCGACTTCAAGACAGCCCAGGCCCGTCGCTACCATCTTATGGTATTCTTTGACCTCACTATCTGACATTGACCTCGCAATTCCGGAGGCTGCAGCGTGTGCTTTAGCGAAGCAGTCTTCGGCCACACATAGCAACAGTGGCAGCGTCTCGACATGGCCGGTTCTTTGCGCCGAAGCAGATAATTTCGCGACAGAAGGGGGCCGACCTGGCCCGCGTGGCGTAGCCCTTTCAGCAGGTGTCGCTTGGGGTTGTAGGAGCCTCTCATCTGGCCTATGGCCGTTCTGCCGAGAGATCGGCTGATGCAACTGTTGTGTCTGTACATGCGGGGAGCTCTGGGGTTGTGAAGGTTGAGAGTATGGTTGTTGCCGTGCCTGTTGTTGGTGATGTTGATTCGGTGTGTTTCGCTGCTGCTGCTGCTGCTTTTGGTATTGCCGCTGCTGTTGGTCATGCTGATTTGTTGTCTGTTGAATCTGTTGCAGCGGTATTTGCTGATTGTGCCGCGAAATTTGAGGCAGAGGTAGCTGAGGACTTGGCAAGGTCATCGAATGAGGTGCTGGAAGGATACGATTTGTTTGTACAGGCGGAACATGTTGCTTTTGGAGGAAGGAAGGATCGACGAATTGAACGGGCGCCGTCGTCGTTTGCGGGGTATGAGCGAACGACGTGGTAGGCTTGGAGCTATAATTCGACAGGTCGACCGGGTTATTGGAATCAAAGGTCGGTTGCGCCTGGAAATAGGCTGACTGCGCGTACGGAACCTGTGGTTGCTGACTATGTTGAGATTGTTGAAGATACTGAGGGTGCCCATTCTGGTAGCCATTCACGTATTGCTGCTGGTGGTGCTGATGGTGAAATCCGGCAACGGGCTGAAAGGCTTGTTGAGCTTGCTGCTGCTGCTGCTGCGGTTGCTGATTCTGATTCTGTTGAGGGTAAATGCCGTATGGCTGCCCCGGGGGCATCGCATCGTGATATGTCATGGCATTTGTCAATTGGAGAGTGGTCTCTGTTTCTTCGAGTCGCGGCGGGCGTAAATAAGTTCGTGCATCGGCGGTAGGAACTGCGCGCTATCGGTGTCGGGTTACTCAGATACTTGGCGAATGTGACAGATGAGGGTTGCTAGGAGCGTAGCATGATCAATGTTTGTTTAAGGAAAGGATTTGACGGAGGCGACGAAAGTTTTCAAAGTGTCTGTGATGTTGGCAGGAAGAAGAGCAGCTTGCTTCCAGTTGATGTCTGCGTGGTTGCTACTGCCGTGTCTGACTGTTAGCGCGCTGCCGCCGCGGCAAGGACAGTCCATGCGTCCACAGACGCTATCCTTCTGCTGATTGGCGCTCGATGACGGGTATCATGTGGCCCACAATACATAGCAGGCAGGGCAGGCATCACCAGAATCCGCATTTGCTGGGCGGGCTGCAGGTCCGACGGGAAGACAGGGCAGGGGACGGGAATCGACTGGATGCAACAAGGAATGCCGAGTTTCCCACTCGTACCACTCGCTGTCCTCCCGACTGTTTGGGGTCCATCAGGGCATGATGCTGTGGAGACGGAAACGAAGATGGGATGGAACCGGACTAGACTTTCAAACCTTGGGAGCTCACTCGCGCCGTGGGCTGAAGAGGGACGAGTCAATAGGCTGGGGAGTCCGTCTTGAGGCGCGATATTTTGATTGAAGGTTGAAATTCCAAGGTAACATCAAGTAAAGTAGTTCCAAGCCGCGATTTGTTGTCATCGTCATCAACATCGTGATAACGGTATAGGGGGGGGGGGGGCAGCGCCAGGTCAAGGACCGCCGCCAAAAGATTGACTTTGCTGTCATTTCTTTGTACCTCGGCACTTTGAAGTCGGTATAAATAGAAGTTTGTCTGTCAATCATCCGCAAGCTTTTAATATTCTTTCCTTTAACATACCTACTCTTTCAGCTCTTATCCTCCTCACAATTTCCTCTTCAACACTTGTACGGGTAGGCCGGATCAACGGTCGTTTAGGCGTAATCATGGACTGGTTCGGTCGTGCCAAGATCTCTTTCACCCACCACACATCACCACTTACACTCCAGCAGAAGGATGGCACGACAACCGACTTACTCAAGGTCTGCGAACAGGCCACTCCGCCATGCCAACTGAACCCGCTTTTGTTCAACGGACATGTCCAGACCATGTGGACTGTGGTTAAGGAGCATGGTCCCCAGATCTACTATCGCCGGAAGATCTTCGATTCAGACCACAAGCTCTACGCCGGCACCTTCACTGTCGATTTTGTGACTGAGCCGCACCAGGACTTTGAAGAGAAACTACCTCCTAGGACCGCTTACTTCTCCGAACAAGATTTCGCCAACCTACCTTCGGATGACAGCAAGCCTATGCTTATCGTGCTCCACGGTTTGTCCGGAGGCTCGCACGAAATCTATCTCCGTCACGCCATTTTGCCTCTTGTTGAGAGTGGCAAGTGGGAAATCTGCGTGGTCAACTCTCGTGGATGCGCCAACAGCGCCGTTACAAGCGGTCTCTTTTTCAATGCCAGGGCCACATGGGATATTCGACAAGTTGTGAAATGGGCCAGACAGAACTTTCCCAACCGTCCCCTTTTTGGCGTTGGCTTCTCGTTGGGTGCGAACATTTTAACTAATGTAGGTAACTTGAACCGTCAACGTAGGCAACTTTTTCGAACCTCCACTAATGTGTCCGATATAGTATGTCGGAGAGGAAGGAGAGGGTTGTCTGCTGAAGGGTGCAGTTGCGGTTGGAAACCCGTTCAACCTAGATGTCACCAACAGAGCTTTACGGCGAACTCACTTGGGAAGACTTTACCAACGGGTGATGGGATGTAAGTTCAATCAACTTATTACGTACTATTTAACAAAGATGCTGACTCACATGTCATTTTGTAGCCAATATGAAGAAGCTGGTTGCGAACCACAAGGAGACTGTGCTCAAGTACACCAACCTTGACTATGACAGGATACAGAACATCACCTACCTCAACGAGTTTGATCGTGAAGTGCAGACCGTAACCTGGGGCTACCCCACCGAGGACGCCTACTACCGCGATGCTTCCTCATGTGACGCTGTCCTAGGCATCAGGATTCCCTTCATGGCCCTCTCTGCCGCTGATGATCCGGTGAGCATATCTTATCCTTTTCCCTCAAGAGTGCAGTTTGAAAACCCCCATGAGTATAGAGCTGACAAATCACTAGATCGCTGTTGAGGAAGCCATTCCCTACCAAGAGATCAAGCAGAACCCCTACACGGTACTTTGCCTCACGTCTCTCGGCGGACATCTTTCATGGTTCGAACTTGGTGGCGGACGATGGCATACTCGTCCTGTAAGTTTTTTTTGTCTCGCTTTCCGGTTGCTTTTTGCTGATTTGTTGTCTAGATCTGCAACTTCCTGAACAAGATGGCTTTCGATATTGACTTGGACGCCATCAAGCCTGATGCTTGTGACAAGTTCGACAGCCAATTCAGAACTCACTTCGACCCCGTGCAGCGAAAGTTGCAGATTCTCGATCTAAACCAATAGATGGTAGTGGAATGAACACTTGAAAAAAACGAAGACTGGACATAGATTACCTAGCTATAGAGATAGGTCCATCAATTGGGCCTAAAGAGTTTAGACGCGCTTCAGGGCACATTGGGGCTGCACATAGACTTAGATTCGCGCTTTCGACTTGGGTACAGGTCCGAACGTACGTTCATTGATGGCTTATGCAAGCCACGAGCTACACCATCCTGACGGTTTCACCTAATAACATCTACCGACTCATGAGAAAGAGGCTGGACCAAGGCTGGCGTGCCCAATTGGTATCTTTAATTTCCACACACAAAATCAGTCAGAACTTTTCCCCCAGCCAAGCCGTCCTACCCGCCGCCAGACTTTGATTGATATAAACGCCCAGACGCCATACATGCGAAGAAAAAAATGCTTGGTGTAGGTATTACACGACAAACTTCCACCCTTCCTGTCTTCATTCTCCCAGCCCATTCGCAGGAGGGACCTTCAAAGCTCCCAGCATCCTTGCTTGATTATTTATTCGGGAGCAGCGAAGGATACCGACTTCTTCTTTTTCGACTTAACGGCTTTCGTGCCTGCAGACGAGAACTCCTTGACATCTCTGGAGTCGTCGTCGTCGTCGCCCTTGCCACCGCCCGACTGCTTGCTGCGCTTACGCTTCTTGCGCAGCGAGTCCTTAGTCTCTTCAAGTCTGGCCTTGCGCTCGGCCTCCTTCTTCTCGGCTTCAGCGCGTCTCGCCTCGCGGATCTCCTCCATTTGTCGCGCCTTGATCATCTTGGACTCGATCTGGCCCTCCTTTTCTGCTTGTACGATGGCTAGGATAGTGGCCATGCTCTCCTGTACAAAGGGGGAAAACATGTCAGTTACTTGATGCTTTCCGGTCTTGAAACCTAACCCAAAAAAAAAGCGATATAACCCCAGACGCTAACGAAAGAGAGCTTACCTTGTCATCAACAAACACCTTGCCCTTCTTCTTTCCCTTTGGCTTGGTCACACCAACGGGGGTGATCATGTTGAGTTCCGGAATCGCAAGCTCCTTTTCGCTGTAGGTCTTCTTCTTCTTTTTCCTGGCGATAAGCTCCTGGATGTTCGGTCGGCCCTTGTTGGCAGTCACGAGAGTGTGAGCTTTGCCCTTCGGCTTTCCCTTGGACTTGAGCACTCCATCGTTCCTCGACCTCTCCGCATCTTTGCTGCCCTTGATGCCAGATTTGTTCGCAGCGTGCTTGTTCTTTATCGTCTTTGTCGGCGCCATTGTTAGTTGTGGTTGATTCGTTGATAAGGTCGCAAGAAATCAACGATAGATGGAATGGTGGTTCGGGATATGGATGGGTGGATGGAGTACGAATACTCTCGAATGTATCCTGTACGCTGTCGCTTCAGTTCGGTCGACTTCTGGGGAAAAATTTGGGACCGGAATTGGTCCCTGCTTTATCTTATCGCTGTTAATCCAAGGTACCTACCTAGGTAGGTAGAGCTTGAATAGCACTGTATCAATGCCTGGGTGAGCGCGGCTACGGGGCAGTGGGGTCTGCCAGCTCGCCGTGGGGCTGCCTTGAAATCTCTAATTGGCAGCTGGGGATCGGCAGGCGAGCAGGAAAGTCTTGTAGTTCCCTTCTAGTGTAAGCGCGGGGTTGGCAGCACTACCTAGTGGAGGTACCTATTCCATATCGATTGCCTATCGGTGCGTTCCCTCACTAGTGGCGCTCCGAAATCGCCAAAATTTCCAAGATCACCTTTATTGTCGCCATCCTTACATCGCAATTGATGACATTGCCGTGGTGATTTCCCAAGAGTCTACGGCCCCCAGAAGTCTCAGACGCCCTATTCAGACAAAATGAGCACCGAACAGCCCGCGCCCCGCTGGGCCGCCTTTGCACGCGACACCAACGAGACCAAAATCCAGATCGCACTCAACCTTGATGGCGGCGCATTCCCTCCCGAGACCGACGCCCGCTTGAACGTCAGTATCGCCGACGGCCATGCTACTCAGGCTAGCAAATCGCAAACTATCAGCGTCAATACCGGCATTGGCTTCCTTGACCACATGCTCCATGCGCTTGCCAAGCATGCCGGCTGGAGTCTTGCGCTTGCTTGCAAGGGCGACCTTCACAGTTAGTAGACATCTTTGGCTTGGGCGCAAAAGTCCTCGTGGAACAACATCCAGAACTCTGAATTGACTTTATCCCTCTCATAGTCGACGACCACCACACCGCCGAAGACGTCTGCATCGCTCTCGGTTACGCTTTCGCCAAGGCTCTCGGCACACCCACCGGTCTCGCGCGCTTCGGATACGCATACTGCCCCCTCGACGAGGCCCTCAGCCGTGCCGTCGTCGATCTGTCGAACCGTCCCTTTGCCGTTGTCGACCTCAGTCTTAAGCGTGAGAAGATTGGCGATCTCAGCACCGAGATGATCCCCCACTGTATCCATAGCTTCGCCGGGGCTGCCCGCATCACCGTACACGTCGACTGCCTCCGCGGCGACAACGACCACCACAGAGCTGAGAGCGCATTTAAGGCGCTTGCGGTTGCCACGAAGCAGGCTACTAGCCGGGTGGCGGGTCGCGAGGGTGAAGTTCCTAGCACCAAGGGAACGCTCAGCGTATAAGGAAGTGGGAAGGGAGTTGGTTATGGGTTTTGGAATAGAAGTGCAATGATACCATGTAATGTCGTTTACCGTGGTACTTTGCGCGCATGTTCGGCTGTCATCATTTCGCCATAGCGACGGCGTAGAGTTGAGGTGAAGAATGGAAAACCAGATGCATCTTGCGAATTGGCGAATGTATACCTAGGGAATTTACCCCTGATACAGGTTGTTGACAAAGTTCCCCTTTCGGAAAGTCGGACGTACGCGGGCTCCACAGCGGACAACAGAATGGGGATCGAGGGGAAAGTGGAAGCGCAAGAAAATCCCTAGAGATAATACGGAACCTCGCACGACCCAGTCGTTCATGTGACGTACATATACTTTTTCCTCCTCTTGGTGATTTGTATACCCAAAAGACACTATACGACACCGAAGCCTCACGCTGACAACGTCTGTAATCAAACAAAGACGAATAACGTTACGTTCAGCTCGTCAAAAAGACAAATCGGCAGCAAAACCATCTCTATTAGTTGCATCCACCGGCAACGACTCACTCCACATCTCATACGTTCCGGGAGACGGCCTTCCGAGAGTGAATCACCAAACCACCCCAAATCGACCTTTATACAACCAACAAGCCGAACGAAACAAATTCGAACAAGAACCGTCAGGCTCAACGACCCTAATCCCTTCCAAACACCACCACCCCAGGAAGTCCCTCATTATCAATTCACACTGCCTCCACCTACGCCATATACCTCTCTCTCTCTCTCTTAGGCAAACACACAAAACACCAAAAATGTCCAGGCCACTCGACGTAAACACCAGGAAGCACGAAGAGGCCAACCAAGCCTCATGGGAAGCATGCAAGGGCGCCTTGTCCGGAGCCTTCAAGTGGGGTGTGGCCTCGGCGATGTTGGGCGGACTTGGATACGCCGTGTCTCCGATGTATAGGGGGTTTACTATTCAGTTCAAGGTGTATGTATTCTCCTTTTTCTTTCCTTCCTTTTTCTCTCTTTCTTTTTGTTCCCTGTTGTCTGTCAGTTCCTCCTCAGTTTTTATCACCCGTTGCATATTCTGGGTTGTTCTGTTACTTTATCTGCTTTGGATCGCGAGTAAAATGCCATGTGACCTTGACTAGGTGACCCAAGAGAGGGGAACAGTTACTGATGAAATGAGAAATGCAGATACATACAAATGTCTGGTATGGTACTGGGCGGTATGCTGGAGGCGGATCACCGGATCCGCGAGTACGAGAAAACCATGAGGATGAGGAGGAGGATAGCGGCAGATCAGGCTATGTGGAAGCAGTTTGAGGAGACGTATGGGAAGGATGAAGATGATGAGTGAGTAAGTGAGTGAGGGGGATGGCAGTGGGGTCAGTCAGGCTCTGGTGAGAATTCTGGGATTATCAGGATTGGCCCGTTTGGGTCGAGGGATCGATCGGGGTTTCGTGGAGAATGAAACGGTTGGCATTTTCTTCTCTTTTCTCTCTTCTCTCCAATTGTTCACTTCTTACTTTGTTTTATGAACAACCTTTGATACCGGCATAACTACAGCCCACTAAAAGTCATATCCGGCGTGTACATGATATTCGTCATTTTAACTACTTCCTCATTTCTCGTAACCCAATCAGTCGCTCCAGGTTTCATCTTCATCATCATCATTACCATCCGTAATGGCCTCCATAACCACTTACAATGGGTAAGGGCTCTTGTCGTACACACAACCGAGATCGGTAAACCCGACAGGGACCCTCAAAAAGTCAGGGAAAAAGCGTTCCCTAGGCCTGTTGATGGCCTCAATCGAGAACCAAGTCGACGCTGAAGGTCCGCCGTCGACCACAGTGGTACTGGAAATCAGAAATTGTCAGCATAGTCCACAAATCAATAGTGTATCGAACCGTCTAGGAAAAAGAAAGAAAGAGGCAACTCACTCGCAGATATTCATGATACCCGCATCAAAATACTCAACGTATCCCATCGAGATCAAATATTTTTCAGCCCCGACATCGGGTTTGACGCAGGGCAGTGAGTGGAACTCGGCAAACTTGTAGTTCTGTCCATCAGGAATGCGGGCGTTGACAATGCAGGGCACCTCTTTATTGTCCCGCGAATCCCAGATGGCAAAATTGAGCTCGACCGAGTGCGTGGTATCGTTCCAGTGACGAGAGAAGCCTGTCACAGACCACCAGGGGCCCTGGTCTACCCATTCGTCGCCGTCGCCGTCGCCGTCGCCGTTGCCGTTACCGTGACCATGTCCATTCCCATGGCCATTGCCGCCGCCGTTGCCATGGCCACCCTTCTTGTTGCCGTGCTTGGTAACCTCATGGAGCACGCCTGGGGCGCGGACCTCGCTGATGGGGTTGGCGAGGGTAGTTTGAAGGCCCGACAGAAGGGCGTAAAGAAGGACGGTCTGGAGCTGCATCGTTGGGTGCTTTCCTGTTGGTTTGTTCTGAGCCGGAAAGTGATGGAGTTTGGGGGTTAGTCGTTGCGGAGGATAGGAGAATGGTGATTGTGATGCTGAGATGCTGTGTACTCTTCTTCTTCCTCTTCCATGCAGGAACCCGTTGTCCATTTATACATTTCGACTCTCCCTTATTTCTTACTTTTCGACAACGTTGCTTTCCCACCTTCCATAGATTTGGCTTGATTATTGCCATCACAATCTAAGCCTGTGGCGGGCTAACGATTTGTTGGTGGTGTCGTCGTCAACGTCGGACCATTAGGCAATGCATCGTAGGAGACTAGAGATCCTTCGTATTGTCCAGGTTGCATAACCATTGTAGATGTTGATATGGCAAACGCGCAGTAGAAGGGTGCGAGGAGCTAGAAAAGGAAAAAGAAGACAGGGTTCACGTGAGAAGAGAGACAATGCGCTTGCCCGCCCATTGCAGACAAAAAGGGGAAATGAGGCTTGATGGCTTTCTGGCTGTCTTTGAGCCTCATCTGAAGCCAGTTCGCCAGCGGTACGTTGTAACTTCATCATCCTTCCGACAGTTCAATTCCAGCGTGTTTCTCCAGGTTGGAGAACGATGGTTTCCCGAACTCCCACCAATCAGGACTTTTTAGAGAGTACCGTGAACTGAGAGATATAGGACAACCAAGACTGTCAAGTCGTTAGTTAGCTTGTACAATCTGATAGATCATATCCAAGCAACAGATTTTGGTGTCCAGCCAATGGTGTCTAAGAATTGAAGTGATTTGGAAAATTCGCACGGTAGTGAAGGTGAGGATGGAAGCTTCTTGGAGCTCACCGACATACCGGACCGGCAGCTTATGGCCTTCAAAACCATAAGCTTTGCGCTTTGATTGGTTTGAAACCGTTTGAGTGCTGTCTTTTGGCCGACTTATCCCTTATGGCGAACTACCGAACTCAACTCTGCCCTGCGCTGCACATTTGTAGAGTCTTTTGGCTCTTTTGCCCTCACGGTCTCATGATATCGCCAAGGAGAGACGCGGGGGGAGGGGGGGACTGGTGCTTGCTACTGTGGCGTGGCAGCTAGCGCTAGAAGCGTAAGAAATAACTACCACACAGGCAAAATGCGAGTTTCTCGACTTTCTTCAGACCTTTCCGTACTTATTGCTGTGAACGGTCGGCACCTTAGGGGCCAGATAAGGCTTAACTATGCCATGTCCCTGGAATTGTCCTCCAATTTGTTGATAACAAGCGCCCGGTGCCTTTAGATGTCCTGGCTATTCGGTTTGTAAGCCTCCGGAGGAGCTTGATTCAGTGACAGGCAGAACATGTGCCATACCAAGAACCATACGTAGACGTGACCCGCGACTCGAGCATTCAAAGCTCATGAAAGTGCAAATAACTGACCCGGTCAGTAAGTAGTATTACCGCAACTGTTTGGGGACAGCTGACAACCTGAAGGCCTCGTCTAAAGCATTATATCTGAGTGATGGCTGTGCCTGGGGCTGAGACCTCTCTGCCGAGGCTTCTGTTCCTCGGGGGCGCAGAAAACAGATAAAGATGGGGGCCGAAACCGTTCGACTTGCGCAGGTTCCTCATGGTGTACAGTCCGATGCTGGTTTGTTTGTTAGCTTGGTACACTAGGCCCTCTTAGTAGTATGGTATACATAGTGCACTAGACGAAATCTTTTTCGAATAGTCCTAAAGCTTATACAGATAAATCAAAAGGCATTAACAGGATATAATATGGCATTTTGGATAGTAGAGATGGCGTATCCAAGGTAGAGTTACCTCTATGTATTAGTTAGCTATATAAACGTATGGAAAAGTTGACTGGACTGTACATAGGAAGTGTTTTACGGCACGGATCTGGCAATATTGTACTATATAGACAAGCTGTCCGAGGAACCAACGGGATCAGACAGAGAGGTTTTTACAGACGGCTGCCGCAGAAAATGCAACGTTAATTACGCGGATGTCAAGCCGGTCGTTACTGTTGCTGATCTCCCTTGTCTCCTTCCCTATATTGAACACAACCCGGCGACTTAGCAGGGTCGGTTAAGCATTGTGCCCATCGCGTAATGCATTTTCTCGTATCATATTGAGGGTGAACCAGATAGCCGGGAAATATTCTCAAAGATGACCGGCGAGAACTGGCGAGTGATGGGTGCCGATTAATACTGCATTCTGCGTGTAGTCCGGCGCGAACACCTGCTGTCTTTTGAGGATCGAACATGAGATAAACAGGCTGAGTTGGTCATGTCTTTAGACCTTCATGCATTCATCCTCTTCCTTCATACGTAGCATCCCGACTGGCAGACGAGGAAATTTGGACAAGGCTGCTGTGAACCCGAAGAGGAGTTACCGAGTTATCGAAGAGTAACAGCCAATCTTGCCAAATGCTGCAGCCCGGACAGTCAGCAGTCTCTACGTTTTACAGGTACAGACACTTCTGTATTCCCTGATCATTTGAGACTGGCAACCGAGGTCCTCAAAAGATGGGCGCACCCAGAAAGGGTGGAGGCGGCCAGATGCGTTGCAACCTCAATAGTGACGCATATCGGGCCGTACATATTGCATGGTGTTATGATGGGGCAGACGGGCCTCCTAAGATGGAAATGGAAGTTACATAGTAGGAACGATGGGGAGAGCCAGAGGGTTTCGCAAAAATCGCAGAAAAGAGACCGAACAAAGAGAGGGGGGAAGAAGAAAAAGAGACAGGCCAACATGCCAGGATCATTGGGGTCGCGAGTTCGGCCCCCCACACGACCACTGCTGACAGTCCTGTAGTGTACACGCCTGATTGATCGGCACGAAGGGTGTCGGGAAGGAGGGGAAGCTCGGGGTAAAACATGGGAGGGCATTCCGGGAACGGAGAAGCTCGTGTTGGTCTTCCGTTCTGACAAGTCTCGGTTTCAATTTTGTCACGCAAAAAACATCAGCGGGACGGAAATGGTGAATCAGCCATGGACGGGATGATCAGCAACGGGAGCGCTAAGGACAACGGTCGTTTTGTGCCGCCCGCGCCCATGTGGATTCGTTTCGACTTTTATAGAAGGCCGACAGGTCATTTCACCATTGGGATGTCCCCGGATGATTGTGCGCTTCACTTCCTTCAGAAGGATTCCGTATCCATGATCGTCTTCCGAGATTTGGCTGTCATCTGGGAAAACGAAAAGGTGAAGTGCCGAACTGTTACTCGCTGTTGAGCCCAGGGTCAGATCTTCAGCCCTCAACTCCATTGGACGGTGATGGCAAGAGATCTGGAGATGGTCCGTGCGCGTGTCGCTTGCAGCCCGAGCTCCAGGTCGTCAAGGTCCATTGAGATTAGCGCGGGACAGTCCGGGCCCCCATCTTTGATTGCAGATGCCCTCCGGTGTCCACTTTCAACGGTCACCTTCCACTTGCACGCACTTTGACACTTCCAGTTGACAACCCAACCTACTCCAGTCACCTTGTGCGCATGCTTGGCAGTGACTGGACTCTTTTTCAACACTGTTCTCCTCTTAGTATTCTCGACTGCCATTTCTCTTCCAGAAATCTCTGCTGCGTGCTGCTCAAACTTTGCCAATGTCACACTCTAGCGCTTGTCAAACCAGGCCCTAACTGGCTCGCGATCGAGGCAAACAAACAGTTGGCTAACCAGACTCGCCAGACTTGTGACTGTTACGTATCCTTTTTGCCCACGCTCGGTTGCCTCTTGGAGACCCGAAAACCGTTGGAGGCCATCCCGATATCCCGCCCTCCTGACGAGCCAACATGATTGGATCATGCCTTCACACCACCACAGGCCAAAAGTCCCAACTGTCCCAACCCATCCATCCATCAGATGGATAAACCAAACAAGCCAAGGGATGAGAAGAAAGACGGGACTTCCCTGGGAAAAAGGGCCTCGACCACCTCTGATGCCAGTCTACCAATCCCAGGACGGATCGGATCCATGGTCCGCAGTCGACACCACGTAGGAACCACTAGAACTGGTGTTACAACGGGTGTGGCCAAAGTCGAGGGTCTCCCGCAGCTCAGCCAGTGCGCCCTACCCTCTCTTCACACCCGACCCTTCGCGGCCTCTGCTCTCACCTGCAGCACCCCATTTTCAGCGGGAGCCCTCTAGCAAACCTGCCGACTGGACAGCCTCACTCGGCAAATCCTGGACAAAACCTTCATATCGGTATGGCTGTGGCCCTGCCGGAAGCTCAGGAATCTGGCTGTCTGGAGCTTAGTTTGAGGTAAGATCGTCGATACTCGCAATGCTACTCTTTCACTTTCTTTACATTAGTCCTTCAAGATATCCTAGTTGTCTTGCATTAGTATCACTGTTGGATATTAGTCGATATTATGTGACTAGTCACTACCTCACTATTTACCGCAGCGTATTACTACAGTACCAACTGCCCGGGTGATGGTGACCTCGTCTTCTTGTGCCCGTCCAAGGCAGTCTTACTGTGCCGTGTAACCTTGGAGGTAAGATCAGCGGAGGACCGAGTCCCAACAGCCAGCCTGCTCCTCCTACTTACATTATATTCTCAGTGTACTTGACTATGCCAAGCCCCAAGTGGTTGCCTTTACCTTTCCTCTCCCCTCGGGACTGATTCGTCCGTCTATTTTGACTTCTTTCGACTTGAGAACGACCTTAGCGTCCCCGGGTTCCTTTCGAGTGTTGCCCAGTTACAAGGCAGCGACAGGGAGTTCTAATATACAGAAACGCCTGCATAGATGGCCAAGGACCGGACGACATCTGAACAAGGTTAACGCTTGAGTAACCGTTTTTTAACGCCAGCACCCTTCTTTCTTGTCGAACATAGAAGTGATCCTCTGTGTGTCTGACCATGACAACACAGACATGGACATCCCTTGTCCGGAGAGACACCAAAGGGCCTTTGAGCACCGGGGCTATCGTCGGCATAGCTGTCGGGGCGGCGGCGCTGTTCTTGGCCAGTGCTGCTCTATTTGTCCTTTACTATCGACGACAACGACGCTATGATGCCGAAGACAGCGAGTATTATCAGTATGTCAACTCTGTTCAACGGGGCCAGCACCACATGGGGAGGACATTCGGGCCAGTTCCTCGCCGAGCTCCAACCTACACTTTGGATTACAAGATGGACAAACAGGGAGGTACCGGGCACTCAACTCCCGCCCAGTTCTCAGCAGACCCCCGGACCCAAAACCCAGAGTCACCTCCACTAGACGACATGGCAAGCGCAATGCCAACCCATCCAGCATATCTTCCCAAGGCAGTGGTTCGTGGGACAATACTCAAACCCATCACTCGTCGACCCTCCGAAGACAACAGCAACCCGGTGTACTGTCCTTCAACCACAGACAGCAACAGCATGCCACTGCAAGCCTATCGCGGCTCTTCATCCACTGTCACCGCCACCGTAACAGGAGCAAGTAGGGAGAACGATCCGAAGGTGACGGGAAGCAAAGAGAAGCAGACCTTCCCCTCTCCACCGGGATCCGGGAGAACGGGCGCGACCACCTTCTACGACGACGAGAACTACTACGCAGCGGATCCGGAGAAGGACGCCAAAGGCCAGCGTAGTCTCTCCGCCGCACTTCGTCTCGCCTCAGCGGACCAAGAGGACGATGAAGACAGTCATTACCATGAACAGCAACAGGAACAATCCCAAGGATATCACCAACAACAACAACAACAACCGCATCAACCACAGCAATCTCCCGTGGCCCTCCCCACCCCCGCCTCTGTCGCCTCCTCCTCCTCCCGCACCACCCGAAGCGGTCTCGTGCCCACCATTTCCCTTCCCATCAAAAACAACAAAAAGAAGAAATTCCCTCCTCCCCAACTCAATCTCCACCAACAGCAGCACAACAGCAGCAGCCACAACTCTCCCAACAACCCCAACCAAACCACCGGGAGCGGCAGCAACCTGAGCGGTGGAAAGAACAGTGGTGGTCTCATGGTAGACATGGTAATGTCCACCAGCAACCACCGCCCGCTGAGCGGGATGGAGGATATGTCTATTAGTGGCCCGCTGGCGTTTCCTCAATATTCTCATCAGCAGTATCATCAGCAACAGCAACAGCAGCAGCAGCAGCAGCAGCAGCAGCAGCAGCATGGGGGGTACTATGTGGATGAGTATGGGAATCCAGTTCTGGCACCGGGAAGTGGAGGAGGGAGGAGTAGGGGGGGTAGAGATCGATCGAGGAGTTTTGGTGGTGATCATCAAGGACCGGGACACGGAGGAGAAAGTGGAAGACGGGAGAAGAGACACAGTGGGAATAATGGGAGGCATTATGAGGAGGTGGAGATTGGGAGGGAGAGTGATATTTGGTGATTTGTCTGGTATTTTGGTGATCTGATGATTAATTAGTAAGGGTTAGTACTCAAGATTGTCGACCGGGAAGACCATTTTCGATTCGTTGTATATTCATTTGGATCTTACTGTTGGTTTGGTGTATAGGAAACGGCACTCTTCACGGAGGGACTTTCGTTGTGGAAAGATACGATGATTACCTTCTGGCTCCCGAGTAGGCGGGTTTCCTCCTGGGACGTGGAGTTTACTGCCTGTGGAATGTGGACGGGGTTTGCTGTACTTGAATTCATGATCCATCTATAGCAATGTTACCAACAGATGTCGGAATAAACAGAACATGCAACGATATATCAGATTATCATTGCTATCTGGATCGATCTACCCATTCTGTCCGTGCCCTCCACCACATATCCGCATGATTTCAAACTCTTCTCATGCGAAACCACTTTCAATCACCGCCCAGACGATGACCTGAACCCCGAGTCCTCCACGAATCCGGGAGCACCGAGCCGGTGGAGGCACCTGTAGTACGACCTGTAGACGGAGCGCCAGAACCGGGACGGATGGCAGTACCGTACTCGCGGCGGAACACTCGCGGCGTCTCGACAAAACGAGACAGAAAAGCGGGCGTCGGCAGCAGGCTCGAACCGCCGCCGAATTCGGGCCACAGACGGGTCATAAAGTCATGCCAGTGAGCAGCAAGAATACCGGTGATTTGAAGAGGGATCACCGCGGGGTTCATGAGCAGCGACGAGAGGAGCATGCAATACGGAATCAGCTGCGCAGGCACCGTGAAGAAGAAAAAGTTCGACTTCGCGCCGCGGGCATCTTGAACGGCAGTGTAGCACAGCGCAATGATCAATCCTTGGAGGAAAAAATACCCACCCAGGAAGATTCTGTTTACGATCTATCATCTGTTAGCAATTCTGCTAACAGAAATGCTGGAGTATGGCAACAAAAGACACGGATGCTTAGTGTTGAAATGTAGGGCGCTAAAAAACCACACCGAGCACACGGAGTATATTGCTCGGGTCATCCAAAGCATTCCCACCATGGCCACACCGCAGCCCACCCGGTATTTTGCGAATGATGGGCGGCTGAGATGTAGCGGTAATCTTCCTCGGTTCCAGGAACCGCAATAGTTGTATGCATTGCACTATGCGGGCAGATATTCCGAGGATTCCAATGTGTGTTGTGACGGGTTTGAGGGAAAAGGTGTAGTCAAGAGGGGAAAAAAAACAAGAAAAAAGAGATGTCAAACCTACAATGATGAAACCACCAACAGTAATCAAATACCAAAGGACGTCTTCCTTCCTTTGGAACTTGGGGTTTGAGGTTTCAAGTTGGCTCAAGTACAGATAGGCTGCGATTCTGGTTAGCATCCTTGTTGACCACGAAGTTTTCTTCGAGGAAGGGTTGCTTACCAAAGTACGGATCCAACACAATGCCCAGCTGCGGAGAGCTGAGCAGGAAAGATGTAACAAGACGCCATACCTCAGGCGGCAGTTTGAAGAGTCTGCTCTCATCGAAGTAGATCCAGCTGATCGGCAATGGCCCAAAATAGGCCATGATGGAAGTAACGAGAATGGCCGTCGCCAATGTCCTGAAGCAAGTTGGTATGTGTTCATGGATGCTCTTTGCCAGCTCTTGCACACGATATCGGGCGTGGGAAGAAACCAGCTCAGACGGCAAAGCTCACCTAGCCATTGGTGGCGCCTGCCAGTAGGCCGCCATGATTTCAGACGACATCTTGTCGAGATCTGTGCGTACAGTGTGATGTGATGTGATGTGGTGTGGTGTGGTGTTGTGAAGGGGACTGGAAGCAAGATGCTAATTCTTGGTCTTCGATTTCTCAAAAGAAGCTCAAGTCGGCATCCCTCTGTAGGAAAAAAAAAGGTGGAAAGGGGGGAAAAGCCACAGGCAGCGGTGGGATGTAACGCTGCCTGGAGAGGCAAAGACAGACGTTGAGTGAATCGTGTCTTTTTGGGGAATGGAAGCACGAAGAAATTGCAGCCAACGAAAACGCCCTTTTATGGAAGCCAGGAGCTTTGGGTGGGGCAATTGCGTTTTTGGTGGGGCAGTTGGAGCTCTGGCCGTGATTGATCCGTGTCTTGGCAGGGCAAGCGCGGGGGGGACGCGCTTCTCCGGCGCTCGGGGCGATCCTCTCCGGCAGGAGGAGCCGTTGCCGGTGGCATAATGCTTCGCTTGATGTCGCTTGTTTGCCCTGACGGCAACACCCATGTATGGTTGCGACTTCTCAATGGTTGCTGCGAGCTGTGACTAATAACAATAAAGTGAAACCAACTTCGAGGGACAACACATGAAGATAAAAAAAAATATGCCTTGGGGCCCGTCTACATCTTGAAAAAAATAACTCTTGTGCTTCAAATATGGGTTGTCCATCGTGAACCTTCTCTGCGCTCACTTTGATATCTCCCACTAGTTTCGACACCGCGCTCGGCGCATCGTGGACCGTGTACCCTTGTGGCCTAACAGGTACTGAATTGCGCCTTTTCGGTTGTTTACTTTCTTCGAAGGGAATCACCAACTCCAGCCACCCATTTTCCCCAGGAAGCTTCAGTCTCAGCACTTCGCAGCAGTTATGGAGAGCCTCAACGGCTGTGTTCTCAGCCAATTGAGGCAATCAGGTGCCCAAGTGACTCGTACTCTTCAAAAAATTCAGTCCAGGTCCTATTCGGCTCCCGTCAGCGGCTCCATCCCCGCGGCTAAGAAGAAGTATGTCCCTACTTCTGGCACCTATCCTCAGGGCTTCTCGGCTTCCGGCATCAACGTAGGCGTCAAGCCCAAGAACACTACCAAGCCCGATGTTTGCCTTGTCGCCTCGGACCGTCCTTGCGCCGCCGCCGCCGTCTTCACCAAGAACAAGTTCCAGGCCGCCCCCGTTACTTTCAGTCGTAGCTTGTTGCAGAAGAAGGGCAACCAGGGTATTCAAGGTGTTGTTGTCAACTCGGGATGCGCCAACGCCGTTACTGGTAAGGGGGGCTTGGAGGACGCCGGCAAAATGGCCCAGGCCGCCGATGAGTGCTTCGGCCAGAGCGAGAGCACTCTCGTTATGAGCACTGGTGTCATCGGTCAGCGTCTGCCCATCGAAAAGATCACCAGCAATATCCCCCGGGTTCACAAGGCCATGGGCTCTACCCACGATCACTGGCTCACGGCTGCCAAGGCTATCTGCACCACCGACACTTTCCCCAAGCTCATCTCCCGGTCCTTCAAGCTTCCCTCCTCCCCTTCAGTCGAGTACCGCATCGCCGGCATGACCAAGGGAGCCGGTATGATTCATCCCAACATGGCTACCCTCCTCGGTATCATCGCCACCGATGCTCCCGTTTCCTCCACCGTACTGCCCGCCGTTCTCAAGCACGCCGTCGACCGTTCGTTCAACAGCATCACTATCGATGGAGACACTTCCACCAACGACACTGTTGCCCTGCTTGCCAATGGTGCTGCTGGCGGAAAGGAAGTCGTTGCCAACACTCCCGACTACGATGCCTTCCAGACTGTCCTGACCGATTTCTCTACCGATCTTGCCAAGCTAATCGTCCGTGATGGCGAGGGTGCCACCAAGTTTGTTACTATCCGCGTTGCCGAGGCTGCTAGCGAGGAGGCCGCAAGAAAGATTGCCAGCACCATTGCCCGTTCTCCTCTGGTGAAGACTGCTCTCTACGGCAAGGATGCCAACTGGTAAGTTGCGGCGAATTATATTATGCATTTTGGCAGCTACTAACGTTGTCATTAGGGGCCGTATCCTCTGCGCTACTGGTTACTCCCTTGTTTCTGAGCCCGGCCTTCCCGTCAACGATGTTCCTGAGGTCGTCCCTGAAAAGACCAACGTTTCTTTCATCCCCACTGACGGCACTGCTGAGCTGAAGCTGCTCGTCAACGGCGAACCTGAGCAGGTTGATGAGGCTCGTGCTGCTGAGATCCTCGAGCTTGAGGACCTTGAGATCCTTGTCAGACTCGGAACTGGCGACAAGCAGGCTACCTACTGGACTTGCGACTACAGCCACGAGTACATGTAAGTTGATCCGCCCTCATTCGAGCTTGGGTGACAGACTGCTGACATAAGATCTGAACAGTACCATTAATGGAGACTACCGCACGTAAGAAATCACTGATAAGGCGTTACTGGTACTTGGGGAGGATACCCGGAGGTAGACAGGATAGAAAAGGCTCGTTTATGCCATACTCTGTGCCCTCCCCTTCTTTTATTCGTACTCTTCCATAATATGCACACGTCGCCCGCCACCCCGACCACACATCTCCGAAATGAACACACTCTGTAATACAGCAATTTAAGGGTGGTTTGCGCAACTTAAGCATAGAGGTAGCGAATTCTGTAATAGGAAAGCACGCACATGTGTCGAGTTACTCGAAGGGATGTGCTACCAGAGGCCTCTGGATAGATGTTTGTGGGAACGTCAGACTGAGCTCTTCTCAACGCTGGCTTGAACAGAAGCTTAGTCTAATAAGAGTTATAGAACCTCCAGATTCGAAGCAACCATCATGATTTTTTTTGGTTTTTATCCCATCAAGTGGAAGACAAAAGGAACAAGGTCAGACACTGAGAGTTTGCTTTCCAGGGTTAGGGTACAACGACCTCGGCCAGACCCATGCAAAACCACTTAAAATCATCAAACGCGACGCGTCGCGCCGCGCCATTGACCTTTTCCTCCAGACAGCTCAGAAATCGTAAACCAACAAACAACACCATCGAGGATCGCAACACTTAGAAATCTGGGGATTTGAAACAGGCCATTCGAACAAGAAAAATTCGATTATTGTCCACCCAAAATGCCATCAGCCAAAGCAGAGGAGAGGGGCGAGTCCTCAACCTCCATCTCCAAGGCAGCAACCTCGGTCTCCGCAAGCTCTTCCCCGACCTACGAGCTACCATGGTGAGTCTAATCAGGATTCAATGAACTTTTGATCTCCATAGGGCATCAGGCTGACACGCAGTTACAAACAGGGTAGAAAAGTACAGACCAGTCTTCCTTGACGATGTGGTCGGCAACACAGAAACGATCGAGCGCCTCAAGATTATCGCAAAGGAGGGCAACATGCCCCATTTCATTATTTCAGGCATGCCTGGTATCGGCAAGACCACGAGTGTTTTGTGTCTGGCAAGGCAATTACTAGGTGATGCGTACAAGGAGGCGGTGCTGGAGTTGAATGCCAGTGACGAGCGAGGTTAGAAAGGACAAGAGCATCCAGCTCTGTGGCTATGAGCTACGCCAACAACACAAAACACCCCCCATACTGACATACCAACCCAAAACCCAAACAGGCATTGAAGTAGTCCGCCAGCGCATTAAAGGCTTCGCCCAGAAGAAAGTCACCCTCCCCCCAGGTCGGCACAAGATCGTAATCCTCGACGAAGCCGACAGCATGACCTCGGGCGCTCAACAAGCGCTTCGCCGCACAATGGAAATCTACTCCAACACCACACGCTTTGCCTTCGCCTGCAACCAATCCAACAAGATCATCGAACCTCTGCAATCCCGCTGCGCAATCCTGCGCTTCGCCAAGCTCACCGACGCGCAAGTCGTCAAACGCCTGCTGCAAATCATCGAAGCCGAAAAAGTCGAGTACAGCGACGACGGCCTGGCCGCGCTGGTCTTCAGCGCCGAGGGAGACATGCGGCAGGCGATTAATAACTTGCAATCTACACATGCCGGCTTCGGCTTCGTGAGCGGGGATAATGTCTTTAAAGTTGTGGATAGCCCGCACCCGATCAAGGTGCAGGCGATGCTCAAGGCCTGCTACGAGGGTAATGTTGATGCGGCTCTGGACGGGCTGCGGGAGCTGTGGGACCTGGGGTATTCCAGTCATGATATTATCAGCACCATGTTCAAGGTCACAAAGACGATTCCGACGCTGAGCGAGCACGCCAAGCTCGAGTTCATCAAGGAGATTGGGTTTACGCATATGAAGATTTTGGAGGGCGTCCAGACACTGTTGCAGTTGAGCGGGTGCGTGGCGAGGTTATGTAAGTTGAACATGGATCCGAAGAAGTTTGTGGTACCGAAGAAGTGAAAGGGGGGGAGCTTCTCGAACAAAAGATAAACAAAATCGCGAAGGTGGTGATGCTGGGGCAGGAATAATGAGGTTCATAAAAGATAATACCCGAGCGAAAGCTATGAGTTGAATGGTTTACTCGGCGTTGGTTTTGATGTTTAGTCAACTGGCATAGCATATTGCACTACAGAGAAAGGAGTATAGGTGGTTAGCATGTAGCATTTGCGGTGTAGCCGGTAGCGGAGCATGAAATGTAGAGGATTCCATTGAGTGGATAATGCCTAGATGCGTCCTTCTTCGTGAGATATCCAAGAGTTACCCAGAAAAGGTAGTAGGTATATAGAACATGGCACGTGAAGTTTTGGTACCGTCAGTGAATCTTTCACTTTCCATTTCATATTACCAAGCCGGTTGCCCGGTATATTGTGTAGATATTTTCCAGACCCAGTCCCACCCCTCTTTTCTTTGCCAGCTATCTTAATCTCCATCCAAGAAGAGTAACAGAAAAAGTCGTTCGACACAATCTCGACATATCAATCTCATTCTCAACACATCCGAAAAAAGAAAAGAAGATTATCGCAATCTGTAAGTTCTTCGAGATGCCCTGCACTAATATTCTTTCATACAGAAACAGGCGACAACAAATCTAGAGGATAATGCCTCCCAATGACCCTAGCCCCACCCTTGCGTCCCCTCTCGGCAGCAGGCTCCCGGCGATGAGGATCAACAGAGTGTGTCCTCCTAGACGGCTGCTGCTGGGTAGTTATCTTTCGACCTCTACTATCCCTCCCTCCCGTCATTCCTCCAACCGGTATTACCGGTCCTCGCCCGTAAAACGCCTCGGGTTCATCATCATGATCATTAATACCAACAACCTGTGGCATTCTTTTATGTGGTTGCTGGACATGGCTATTGCTGCCATAGGATGTAGCGGGCAGCACATG